TGTCAGATTATTCTCAGCAATTTAATGCTGAAAATGATATATCCAACCATAGTTTTTATTTTAATTGCTTCTTCTCACTCACTTAATACATATGAATTATTTTCCAACATCCTGCTTTCCCAGGAACTGCAACCTTCAACAATTAAACGCAACACCAATCAACATCTACTCAAATCTTATTCTCGTATTATCCTCTCTTATTAATAATGATTTTTCTCGAATCCTTTCACTCTTAGTAATCCTCTTGCGTCTTAGAGGCTTTATCGCCTTGCTTAGTGGAAAATCATTTAAAAATTATGATAACGGAAATGCTGTTCTACAGAAGGATGTTGCGAATACCATGTACGAGGCGCGTAAGTCAAAAAAGTCTTAAGGAAAATGGATGTTTATACTAAGACTAGACAGATGAAACATCTTGTATATATAATGAGGAAGGAGTCATCCGAGAATTTGACACTCTCGGGACATATCGAAGGTGAAAGAGACAGGGAAAGACAGCGGGATATCTACCTGATGAGCTTGTTTAAATCGACGGCGGAACGCTTGTGGATGGCTTTGCAAAGGTACAAACGTTAGTAAGAGCTACAAAAGATAAGAGATTTTTGAGAGGAACAGGAGACATAGTGCAAAAAGTATTCATTCCAGCTTAATTTGAGTTGATTTCTACCACAACTTCCCAGACGGCCATGCGATGGCGAGTGTCAGAAATGAACCGCAATTCACCGGCTTCTTCTATGGAAATAAATTAATGATTAGATCTCTGAATCAAACAGCCAGATCAACGATTCCAATATAGTCACCATAGACAATGTTGCGCCTAGCTGTGTGACCGTCTGAGAATAGTAGATGCAGTAACCTTCAATGAGCCAGTGATGTAATTAATAATACCTCGATATTGTTAATCAGAAGGCCGAGTTTCAATTCCCGTTGGGTTCGTTATATTTGCCTACGCGCAAAAATCCCTTGAAAAGGTATGAAACCACATCTTCTCCTTTAAGCTATGGGTTAATTATTAAGTTGTGTGTAAGCAGAACTTTATTATCTCTAAAATATACTTAGAATCTAAAAATATTTTCTGGCTTTAAATAAACTGAAAATATATGATAAACCGTAGAAAACCAAACAATCACTTAATCAATTAATCGGCTACTGATGTTTTAATCAAAATCGAACGCTCAATTTGATTTCATATTTATCATTTACCTTTAATAGTCATTAGTAATATCCGTTTGGGAAAAAAATTGTAATGACGATGGTATCTTTTTAACTACTAATCATAAGTGGTAGTTTAGAATGAGTTGTGAGTACAATGACATATTTTAGATTTTGGCGGGCAATAGCAGCGTACAAAGCGGATTCAAGAATAAATTTCTTAAGCTCATTAATAGAGGAATTAAAAGAGCATTAACATCATATAATTTAACGAAGACGTCAAACAAAAAATAAATAAATAATGTTTTGTAGATATCTAGATTGATCGATTAATTTGATTTTTTCGGTTTATCAATCAGTTCCTATCATGTTATTTGTCCCCAAGGTGTCTGTTAAGGCAGAGATACTGTTTGAGATTGCCCTGACTTTATGCCATGGTCTGTATATTGGGCTTCGTCCATTTACCTTTCAGCATAACAAGGCGTGCCCTACCCTCATTCATCATTATCAATAATAATAATCTTCCTGGGTAAGACTTTAAACTATATCCGCGTCCTGGGTAAGACGATAAACTACGTCTAGCAGCAAGGGCTCTGATGAGGACGTTTTGAGGAGCGTGAAACCATCTCTCAATTGCTGGTGTTCCCAGGTCAACCTTGACCCTGGGTGGTAGCACTTGTTAGGCTCCCAGCTATGGGCAAATAGTTAACTATTACCAACAATAATTTTTTCAAAAAAAAAAAAATTATTACCAGCAATACAATTATGAAGGAAAAATATTACCAATAACAGATTTTTGACAAAAGAAAATATTACCAGGAATAAAAAAAAGTGTCGGCATTAAATTATCCACTGAGATTGATATGCTGTAAAACAAAATAAACTAGACAAATAATAATAATAATAATAATAATAATAATAATAATAATAAGAAGAAGAAAAAAGGAGAGAAAGAAAGAAAGAAAGAAAGAAAAAAAAAAAAATGGTTGACGTATCTCTTCCAATATTTTACAAAACTTAGAGAAGAACGTAAATTAAGACAAGAAAAAAAAAAAAGGAAAATACACATTGTTTAATAATGTTTAGCAATATTTCCACGGTATTTCTGTCTTCTTTAAATAAAGTTTTAAAATATCTAGGATCCATCCTTAAAATGCATGATGCTTATTGAATATGGAAATTAGTAACATCCTAATACGGTGGAAGAAACAAAATGACAAAAGTGTTCCATAACATTTATACTAAACTATTTGATTAATTGCTCTTAATAACTAATGAACTGACGGAAGATTTCATCATGAGCACGCTCCCCATCAAGTTATTCACGTGCGAGTTGCATTCCGTTTACGCTGGCTACGTTTGATTCACTTGGTTCCGTTGATTAGCAGTACAACTGCCTTTGTATGCAACTTTTTGTACAGACATTTTAAAAATATTTTTATGCTTGTATGCGATTTTTAAAATAATTTGGAGAAGACAGACATACTGTCGAAATGTTGTTAAGCACTGTCTTTCCTTTTCTTAAATCATGCTTTCTAATAATAATAATAGCAATAATAATAATAGTAATAGAAATAATCACAATAATCTTTGAGTTCTATAACATTAAATTCAAAGACAAATAACATGAACAAGAACCATTAACTGGAACATGAAAAAATGAAGAAACTATTCTCTGGGCCATGCCAATCCAAACTGATAAAAAAAATTCAGACCTGATATGGATGTGAAGAATAAGATGGAAATGATTTGTTTTCTCATCGAAATGTCTGTCTCCACCGAAAATAACGCATGAAAATTATAGGCAAACCTTATTCTAAATGATAATGATTTTGAGACATATATTCAGAGAAGTTTGGAAATGAGGACCACAACACCTCTAGTAATATGTGTCGTTGTTCTGCTCAAGAACGGGGTGGGAAAATAGATCTCAAATCCCTGGTAGCATGAAGTTGAAAAAGGACCAGTAATCAAACTCATAATCACAGATCGCATATTAAGAAGGACATTATCCAGCAAATAATTTTATCACACCTTCGTGTTTAACCAAATTTTAATGATACAATTGTAACCATCAGTAAACAAAGATGATCACTAAAGCAAGCAATCTGAATAACCATATAGAAAAGAGCAATAATAAATTTGTCTATGCATGAAGAACCTGGTGTTTTAAAGGAATGACAAAAACTTTCGATGTACGGCATCATACATGAATTTAGATTTACGGATTTTTTTTTTCTGTTGGTACATTTAAGTTTCGCTTGAATTAGAAAACCGTTTATGACGCCATTTTAAAGTAATGAGCCTCGCATTCGTCGCAGTTTTCTTGGCGAAGCGAAACGCTAAATGACGGAGGAAGCCATGAAAAACAGAAAATCATTCGCTTTATCATTATTCTTTCACGATTATTCTATTCAAATTTGATGTAATTTATATTTTGTTCATTTTATCAGGCTCTCTGTTGATAGGCTTCTTTGCCATGAGAGATTTCTAATTAGCTGACGGCTTTTAGAGTTACAACTGATTAGACCTTCGTGGTGGCACGTCTTTTCATTGGGATAAATACACACAATCGACGCAATTGTTAAGGCCTGCATCCTCAACATTCGCTTGTGTACGAAATAAGCAGCGAAAGACAGGAGAATGCTGAAAATTATAATTAACATGTGATCTCCATAGGTAATTAATTGTGGTTAATATTTAATAAAATTTATAATACGACAAACTTTATTTACATTATTCGGACTATTGTATTCATCTTTGCCGCCATATTTATTAGAACGTTTCGGCCGTTGTACGCTCCGGCCTTCTTCAGGACGCCTGGCACAATGGAAAAAGACGTTAGTTAGATCGAGTCACAGAAACCGTTTAAGGCAGTGTAGAACTTTCAGAGGGAAATTAACAGGAGAAAACTGATAACTGACATCCATTAAACCTGGTACGTGGAACTAGAACATTCTACCCCAGTGAGTGAAATAAAGGGTTCAGTTCGACATTGCAACCACATGAAGAAGGCCGGAACGTACAACGGCCGAAACGTTGTAATAAATATGTCGACAAAGATGGGAACAATAGTACGAATAATGTAGATAATGTACATGATACCACATCACAGAAATATAGACAGATACGACAAACTTTCCTTGTTAAATATATATATATATATATATATATATATATATATATATATAGATATATATAGATAGATAGATAGATAGATAGATAGACCTAGTGAGCCAGACAAACCTACCTACCTACCTGACGATCCGTTTAGGTGAAACTAGGTTTATCTAGGTCTGCTCTACGGTTGTATTGAGCTCTTTTGTTAGTTAGTTGTTTACTCGTGTCGGGGTTTTTCTTTGGGCTTCAAACCTGTATCTTTGCGATTTTTTTTTCGACAGACTTTCATGTTTGTAGCTCTTTCTTTTTTAAAACCTTTTTCCCTCGAGATTGATTTGATTATTGGCAAATCAAAAATTCGAGGGTTTTTCAAACGAGTATAGTTATCTATATTTGTATATATATATATATATATATATATATATATATATATATATATATATATATCCCGGCAGAAATTTTTCGTATATATTTTATTTTTTGCCTTTGCAGGTTTCTTAAAGCCTGAAAATATTTTTTTGTATTGTAGGAATTTTGGAGAGATAATAATTATTTACTAATATAATTACTAATAATTAAACCATAGATGGAGGAAGACGAGGTGGATTCGTGCCTTTCCCAGTGGGAATCGCACGTAAGTAAATATAACTAACTCGAGTGAAATTGGTAATCGGCTCTACGATTTACAATTTCGAGGCGCTATCCATTTTATCACCCGCAAATCGAAGCTTACAGCTCCTGGTATTCCAAAGCGATCACCCATCTTGGTACTGACCAACCCCGACTTTGCTTAACTTCGGAGACCGTAAGAAAAACGGCGTTTCAACGTGATTTAGCTTTAAGCCTATTATATATAATCTGATTCATAGCTTTAATCATAAAAATGCACGCATGGACATAGAATAATATTAACTGAAAAAATATATGACAGGTTGTTATTTTAGTATGGTTTGTTTGTTTTACGGCATATCAACATCAATGGGTTATTTAATGCAGAGAAATATTTTTATTGCTGGTAATTTTTTTAAAATATATTGCTGGTAATATTTCTTTTCAAAAATCAATTTCTGATAACATTTCTTCAAAAAAATTATAGCTGGTAATATTGTTTTTTCATTAATGCAAAGGTAATACTTTTGTGGCACCATTTACGAGGCAGAAAAGGAAAAGAAAGAAAAGAAGGCAGAAAGATAGGCGAGACGAATCGTGGGTGATAAGCAGACACACACACGGCTAAGAGACAATGAATATATTGATGACAGGGAAATTCTGAGTAAAAAGAAAGGGAAAGAAAGAAAGAATCAGATGTGTTTTGATAACGGCTGTGTTATCTAGGGGTACGCAAACAAACGGCTGGTCGACTGGCCAAAGAAAAAAATTCAAGTGAAAATGTTATTTCGATAAGTGACGAAAAACAGGGACTTTGAATAGATATGGAAAAATTATTCGCGACACACACGAAGTAACTACACTGACCGATTTTCTTGCCGCAGAACATCTTTATGCCTGCGATCATAAAATCATGTTATCAAGAAATGTTCGCCAAAAAAAAGTCCAATTGAAAACGTTAATTTTGATAATTGACAAAACACAGGTGTAACTACAGGGCTTTGGGTAGATATGGAAAAATTAATCGCGACACACACGAAGTAACTACACTGACCGATTTTCTTGCCGCAGGACATCTTTGGCCTGCGATAATAAAATTATGTTATCAGAAATATGTACCGAAGGAAAATGAATGGGGACCCAGAAGTGTTTTTTTCTTGCTTCGAGGCGACAGACTGACTGAAATTTTGGAGATGTTTCTTTTTTGATGCCGTGTTAAGAAGACCACCCATTCTGATAATTAGCGATAAAATACCTGACAAAAACCACGTGTAGAACAAGAGTTATATTGTCCCGTTTGCGGATAGGGAAATGATAACGGCGATTAAGAGGAAGAAAGGGAAAAGAGACAAGATATTTTTTTTCTTCCTGAAACAAAGCTGCGGATTGTCCACGCCCGACTAAGATTTCATTGGTCGAGTGGCGATCACGTGACGCACGAAGGAGGCTGTCGACGCCTCATCCAGAGTATAGGTATGAGAAGCTGCTACGAAGAAGTGGGGAAGGCAGTTCACGTCCTCTGAAGTATGGTGAGAAAGTCGGAGTGAGGAAAGGTTCCCAAAAATGTAAAAGTGGAAAATCCCTAACCAGAAATAAAAGAGGTGGATATGTATTTAGAATTATCGAGCAACCCCCGACGCCGACAGACCCACCCCGGTTTCGGTCGGCGTCCATAAAAGCGAAGCCCCTACGAGCAGAAATCAGTTCGGGCTCCAGCAGTTCCAGCAGTTCCAGTGAGTTCAGCTGACCAAGATTCACGCAAATTCCGGACTCCTCTTCAACACAAGAACAATTATTTTGAAGAGCGACTTAGATCCAGACCACCGAAATAAGTTTTTTTTCGACTTTCGTCCAAAGACACACCGAAACACCAATTTCTTAGAGAGCAAACAACTTGAAGCGTTAAAACTTGCCTAACGGAAAACGACGTGTCACAATCCACAGAACGGGTCGGGAGATAAATGCAGTCCTATGTATCGAACAACTAGACATAAAGTTTGTTACCTTTTTCTTTGATACTTTGAACTTTTTTTTTCTTTTTATTTTCTTTCATGCATATTTGTGTGGTATCACCCCCGTTGAACTCAGTTTGCATTACGGCCCCGACTACTGATTGATCTCGTCTGCCTAAGATCAATTCACAACGTGGGTAGGCAGACTGGAGATCAATGCAGTTACCTTGGTAACCAGGCGTTGGAAGCGAGTTGGGACGACGAGGCTGATATCAAATCTAACCAGATTCCCACCCGAATCACAAAAAGGTTAGAACGTCACATTTGGGTGCCGCGACCGATACCAAGCCAGTTGGTCGTCACAGGACGAGACAACACGACTGATGCGACAGGCGGACGTCACGTTTGGAGCAGCGACACCCGAACGGAGCAGCGAGGAGCGAACAGCTGGCGCCGCGGCGGGACGTCTGGTTGGTGCTGTTTGGGGACGTCACAACTGGTGCGTGGTAGATCAGGATAGAACGTCACAGTTGGCGCTGCGACCGGGGGACGACGTCACACTTTTTTTTTATTTCAAATCTTTATTGCTACTAACAATTTTTTTACAAAGTATTAAAAAATATTTATACACTTTCATAGTATTTTGAGCCCGGTTTGGGGGTTAACTATTTTCCCATAGCTGTAACCCTAACAGGTTCTACCACCACGGGTTAGGGTGGACCTGGGAACACCAGCAATTAAGAGGTGGTTCAAGGCTCCTCAAAACCTCGTGACCAGAGGCATTGGCGTTGGACGTAGTTTATGTCTTACCCAGGACGCGGAAGTAGTTTATCGTCATACCCAGTACGGGGTTGTTATTTTGTTCATCGTTTCTACGATATCTTGTTTCTGGAGACGGTATCACAATAGATGTGAGCAAACACATCATTGATCTCAAACATGAGACCCTAGAATAATACATTACATGACGTTCAGAAAGCAATTTCACGGCTAGAAAGGATGCATGAACAAGCCAAGGCAGACCAATATTCAATCTTAGAAATGTGCTTTTCGAATTAGTATATAGTCTCTACTATGCGATAATGAATCCTATATTGAGCGCTTCAAATTTCAGTTGAGAAAGTATGTATTTAGGTTCGTCCGAAAACAGAACACACCGTTCTTCCATCCTGTATAATGTATAGTGGTTTGAAATGAAAAATCGGAGAGCCGAGTTCGAATTCCAATCGAGTTCATTACATTCACTTGCATGCTAATACCCTTGGAATAATCATGAATCCATTTCTTTCCCCCAGCTATGGGTTATATATTTACACTTTTATCTCGTAAAATCATTCAATAAATTTCTTAATTGACATTTTAGAAAATGGTGCAGATAAACTTGCAGCTGGAGCATACTTAGAAATGCATTCAGCTTTGTTAATCTAGACTTCGATTGAGAATCGTTCCTAAGTAAATAGATGTGTGACCCATGTCGCTATTGCTGTCGTATCATTAAAAGAAAATGCCTCAAAACTCAACCTGGATGCATAACTGCTGCTAATGTCCAGAGATGCACTGCGTGCAGCAGATACGAAAGTTGTTATGGTTAAGCAAACGGTGAAAAGCAACTGCATTTACTCTAGCCCACCTTAATTCATCGAGAAAAAGGATGCACATATTACCATCTCCAATCGATTTAGATTAGAGATCATCAGAGCTGTTATTACTTATCTTTCTTCGCACTGCTTTCGTTTTCATTCGAAGCTTTGCAATATGGAATACCGCTCAAATCGAGCAAGATCAAATAGAGGGCACGTTTCACAGAATATACGCAGCGCAAAACGACTGGAGCGATGTAATTCCGATTTTCTCAATGTAAGCTTCGTAAGTTCGATGGTGTGGGCTGCAACAACTTATACTGGCGACTTCAATCCAGAGGTCGGTTAATTTCTTGAGCTTGTCAATATCTTTGACAATTGATTCTATGGACTCCAGTAAACACGCAAATCAAATAGTAGTGAGGGGCTCATTTCTCGTATCTTTGTAGAAAATCGTGACGTCGGGTTTTGTGGCAACAACATCCCGATTTGTTTCTATATATAAATCTCAAAAGATCTTGACTTAGTCGAACTCAATCACCTTTCTTAGGCCGTGTCAGTAGCAATTCTCGTAGACTTCAGTGTCGATACTTCCTTGACAGCCCCCAATGCATAGGAGCGCCCAAAGCAGTGAGTTCAGTCTTATAGTCCGAACGGTTCTCCGTGCATAGGAATCAGTATATATTAAGTCTTACGTAAGAATAAGTGGTTGATGGGCTTAATGGTAATTATGCCTTTTTTTGTTTGCATGTAACTGTGTGGGGTTGCACTTTTTTTAGTCACTGTCCATAATTTTGTCTTATATTCGTGAGAAACCATTTATTGATCCAGGATCCATTTTTATCCTCATTTATATATCTACCGTTCGTCTATGAATATTGCCACCATGTCTGGTCTGGGGTTCTGGCTATATATCTCGAGATTCTTGATAAAAACCCAAGGTAGTGTCTGTAATGTAATCGATACTGACATGGCATCTCGACTACAGTCAATTTCCCACGACCGTGTCATGGTTACCGTTTGTCTTTTCTACAAATATTTTTCTTCTTCTTCTTCTTCTTCTTCTTCTTCTTCTTCTTCTTATTATTATTATTATTATTATTATTATTATTATTATCCTCATTATTATTATTATTTTCATTATTATTATTTTTATCATTATTATTATTATTATTATTATTTGTATTTCCTTTGATATCTGGCGTTTACACATTTCTTTCCGGGTCCCGCCCAGGGACCTAAGGTCAGAAATAGCATCATGACATTTTCCACTGACAAAAAAAAATGACATAGATAAAGCCCTTCGTGAAGTGTGTCAGAACAATTTTTGTATCTCCTTGAGGCATGGACCTTCAATTAGTCTACTGCAATCTTTTTCAACCAGTCCTAGGGCTCCAACTACAACAGGGATTGTTGATGTTCCCATATGCCACATTTTCGAGATTTCTATTTCAAGGTCCTTATATTTTGAAAGCTTTTTTAAATATCTTCAAAGATAGATTGCAGTCTGCAGGGACTGCCATATCAATAAGGAGGGACTTTTTTTTGTTTGTGGTCTTTAATAACAATGTCTTGGCGGTTGGCTTTGATTGTTCTGTCAGTGTGTATTGTGTAGTCCCATAGAATTGTAACAGGTCCTATCTCCACAACCGGGTCTGGATGGTGATCTTATTATTATTTATCATT